GGCTATTTTTTGGTTGCAGCCGTCATTGTTGTTTTGGTGGGCCCAGGCTGGATTTGAACCTGCCACCTTAGGTGTATGTGGCTGGCGCCTTAGCCGGTTGAGCCACAGGCACCAAGCCATATAACAGAATTTTAATAGGAGATTTCACATCAACAAAGGCTTTGTCCTCAGGCTTATAAGCTACATAACCTTGAGAAAGTAGATCAGACTTTGAGCCTCAGTTTTCCCACTTGCAAAATGTTAATACCTACTTCATGACACTACTTCGTGTAAATCAAATGAGATAATGAACTGTAGAACCTGGTGAGTGCTAGTGAGGAGCAGGTGGCAGCTCATGTTTTTGTTATTCATCTGGCAAAGACTTCTTGCATGCTAGGCACTGTTCTAGACACCAGGACAGTGGCTGAGGGGAGGGAGACAGACATATCTGAGCTTCTAAGGCCTGGCCTCCAAATGCAGGGTAGGATGTGCTCTGCTGATGCAGAGAACCACATTCCTTGGTCTTCCACTCTCCAGCCCATCCTTTAACTGCCACACAAGCCCATTTTCCTGAGGCCTGGAAGGCCCCTCTGATCTGGTTCCCAATTTGTTTCTTATTGTCTTCCTATTGCTATGCTCCAACCACAATGATGGTGCCCAAGAGCAACTGGATAGTAAGCATGCACTACATGCCAGAACCACATTAGAAATTACATGTATGCTTTCATTTAAGCCTCAACCTTATGAAGTAGGTACTATTTTCATCCCTGTTTTCCAAATAAGGATGCAGTATCTTAGAGATGTTAAATGGAGTAGCTATTAAGTGGTAGAGATGGAACTGGAACCTGGGTTTGCCAAAATTTAATGTGAGTGGTCTTAACTATCATCTTATAGTGGGCTCAATATTTTTTTTGAGACAGAGCCTCATTTTGTCACCTTCATTAGAATGCTGTGGCATCATAGCTTACAGCAACCTCAAACTCTTGGGCTCAAGTAATCCTCTTACCTCAGCTTCCCTAGTAGCTGGGACTACAGGCATATGTCACAATGTCTGGCTAGTTTTTCTATTTTTAGTAGGTATGAGTACTCTTGCTCAGGCTGGTCTTGAACTCCTGATCTCAAGCAATCCACCCATCTCAGCCTCCCAGAGTGCTCGGATTAAAGGCATGAGCCACAGTGGGCTCAAATTTTTAACTCTACATTTATTCCATACAAATATGCTCTGACCTTCTAAGCCTATGTGCTGTTTCTTCTACCTGAGATACCTCCCCCATTCTCTCTTCCTTGTTTTCGTAATACATTTTCATTTGTCCTTCAATCCTTGTTCACCTCTTACTGCTTCCTGGTGCCTCCAGATATTCAGAATTCATTTTCTCACTGGTGCTCCCATAAAACTTTCTACATATTCTACCTTAGCATCCACTCATTCACTCCACAAGTATTTATTAAGCACCTACTCTGTGTCAGACACTAGGCTACATGTTGGGAATCACTGGTGAATAAAACTGGCCATTAGGGGCCGGGCATGGGGGCTCACACCTGTAATCCCAGCACTTGGGCAGCCAAGGCAGGTGGATTGCCTGAGCTTACAAGGTCAAGACCAACCCAAAGAGACTGTCTCTAAAACAAACAAAAAACAATAGCTGGGTGCTGTGGCGGGCGCCTATAGTCCCAGCTACTTGAGAGGCTGAGGCAAGAGAATCTCAAGAAAATTTGAGCCCAAGAGTTTTATGTTGCTGTGAGCTAAGATGCCATGGCACTCTACCAAGGGTGACCAAGTGAGACTCTGTCTCAAAAAACAGAACAAACAAACAAAAACCTGGCCATTAAATACACTACTACATGAAGACATTTAATATTTCATATTAGTTACTGTGTCTGTGGTTTCTCCATCCCTTATCAAACTAGGTGTTCGATCAATATGGTAGATGAATTAACAATGTATCCCTTCCTGACTATGTGCTGATTTATCTCTGAGTCCCCACAATGTCTGACACACAGTAGAGACTCACTATATGTTTCTTACTATGTGCCAAATTACTAAATGCTTATGGAAAGGAGTATGGGGACAAAACCCATTGAGTCCTATTGCATTCTCCATGTGGATAAGATTCCAGGACTATCTTCTAGCTGCCCACATGAACACCCATTGTGGGGTCACTGCCCATGGTGATGGTGGTGAGAAAAGCACAGGATTGGAATCAGACCAGGTATGCCACTTACAGATTCAGTAAACGTTACTTCTCTGAAACGATTTTCCCACTAACAAACTGGGAATAATACCTATGTATATGAAGTACCTCACGGAAGGTCTAGTCCAGAAATACTAAATACACATTAACTTCCTTTCCTCTATCTCAGTGTTTCTCAACCTTTTAAAAATATGTGCCTTTCATGAGAGAAAAACTCCATTAAATTCTAGTAAGGCGGCTCGGCACCTGTGGCTCAAGTGGCTAAGGCGCCAGCCACATACATCTAAGGTGGTGGGTTTGAATCCAGCCCGGGCCCGCCAAACAACAATAATGGCTGCAACCAAAAAATAGCTGGGCGTTGTGGCGGGCGCCTGTGGTCCCAGCTACTTGGGAGGC